CTTGTCAGGCCTTTTAAAAATAAATAAATAAAGACATCTTGTATCACATCTTGTTTTATCTCTGATGCGCCGATATAACAGCCCGGACCTTAAGAGAGTCGTGTTATTTATAACCGAGCTCGGCCTTTATCTTCCTCTGATGGCTGGCCTGCTTTCATCCAGGAGGGCCCGCCGGTCTCACTCCTGTAATGCTCCATCGTTTTGATTCAAAGGGTTCAGCGTTGCACTCTTTGTGCCACTGTGGAGTCCTCCGCTGATCCGCTTTGTGCTTTCGAACATCGTGAGGCTTTCACGGATTCTCTTTCTTGGTTTTCCGTCCCTCCCTCTCTGTTGGTGTGAAGTTTGCAGGGTTTGCACCGAAAAAACAAGCAAACAGATAATGGCAGAGACGGCATCATGTTCTCACATTAGTCCCTTCACTTAGCTTAGTGTTTTTCTCTAAAAAAATAATAATATTTTTTTAAAACAAAATCCATTAATTTCTCTTCTTTTGTCTCCTTCTTTTAGGGTCGTGCAAAAATGTTCATAATCTGTGATGATTACAAAGGCATTAATGGAAAATTGGACTGTCACCTGAACAGTTTATTTCGATTTCATCCGGATTATATGTACCGCAAACCCCGCAACAAAGTCATCTCCATCACCTCCACTGTTTGACACTTGCAGTGTATCAAAGCTAAGATCGAGCTAAAGTGCTCTGGCTCCTTGAGTCGGGAGCGTCGTCTTGTTTCTCTCTCTCTCTCTTAATGGAAACGCGCGTTTCACAGCGCAGACCAGTTTCTGTCGCATATTTTGTGTCCATTTTAAGATGCTTGCAATGATTCCTTGTAAAGAGTCTCTGAGTCTCCAGGGAGCTGATTACTCACACACTTAAATCTCGCTGCTCGTGCTTTTCGGACTCCTTTGTCAGCCTGTTGGAGGGAAGGCTGTGGGGCTTTTTCGCTGTATATGGGTTTCTCTGCTGGACCCCATTCATCAACATTATGGCTGCAAGCGGTTGGGCCCTGAGGCCGCCTCTCCCTCTCCAGCACCTGCAGCCTGTCAGCGTGCCCCTGTCGAGCGTCAGCTCAGCCGCGAGCTGGTTTGACGGAAACGCGCCTAGAAGAAACGGTGCTGAAATCGAGAGGCACGTCCGAGGCGAATGTCATGCGACCCGTTAATTTCCTGGACATCAGTAAACAGCTGTTCAACTTTCTTTTTCACCTTCTGCTTTGCGTCAGTGTCACCTCTCCGGGCTTCTGTGCTGCATTTCGGATCCTGATGCACTCACTCAGTGGAAGAGTTGAGTTTGTTGATGTGGGGTTCCGTCAAAAAGCTGCAGGCAGCTGCTATTTTCCTCGAACTTTCCCTTTAAGGAGCTTGATTTGTCCAGTTGTGCCACCATTTCTCTGTATCCCCTCTGACCTTGTCAACAGTTATGCTTTGTACTTTAAGTATAACCGTACCAATCAATGCCAAGCAGGTTTTATCTGCACGTCACATCAATCACTTTCTATAGTTTTTTTGTTTTGTTTTGTGACTTTTGCAGGAATCACTGCAAAATCACTGATTTTCATAGCAAACAAGTCACACAAACAGCTGTGAAATCCTGGAGGGACTGATCAATGTGAAAAGAAGTTCAACATTATTACATTGTAAGCAGCACTTATAGAACGGATACACAGTTGTTTATTAATATTTCATCTTCTAAAATGCCAGAATGTGTTGATAAAATCCACTAACAAACTGGTAGCATTTGGTGGTTTGTTAAAGGACAGTTTTATCGATACGTTCTGCCGGCCCTTTCACAACATTCATGGTCCGTTTATTGCACAAGATTAAATTCGATGCCCCTCAACGTAACATTTTCTGTACGGGCCGCAAGGAAAAATAATCAACAATCTCAACAGCACAAAGTCGTCTGCGCATGCAGTCGCAGGTGGTGGAAAACGGTCCTGAAACGTCAGGATGAATATTTCGTTCACTCGCTGGGCGCTTGCCCCCGAATGTGATTTTGAATGTTGCTCACATTTTTCTTGATTAAAAAAAAAGAGAAAGATTTATTTATTTCTCTTCATCCCGATATCAAAGTCCTCTGTCTTGGTTTGTGCCAAGCCGTACAGTTGTGCATACCGTCACTGTGCCAGAAAGTGTTTCACATATTTTTGAAGGAACAGCCTGATCCAGGATGTCTGGAATGGTGAATATTAAACTATATTGAGATGGATGAGCAATATTTAAACTTCGGCTGACAGACACTTTGATGCGGCTTTGTGTAAAACCTTCTCATTGTTCGGTAAATGACTTAAATGATTTGCATTTACTGTTGTCCCTTGATGAAAGGAACAATTGACTGTCAGATAATGACAATAATGAGCGTACTAAACGTATATCTGCCACGTTTTTCAGGACCGGAAGCCAATAATGTCTGTGAACGACAGAAAAAAGCGGCTAAATCTCCTAAAGATAATCAGTACAATAACACTGCTGACTATTTGTCACCTGCTCACATCAATAGATTATTTGTCTTACTTCTGTTTGCCCTCACTGAATGATTCTCTTCAAAAACCGGAAAGATGGAAGTGGACAAAACAGCATTTCCAAAACAGACAAAATGCTAAAGCAGAAACTTCGCTGCTGCATACAGACAGAAGTATTCCTCATCATTTAACATCACCCAGACAGCTCAGTGGGCCCCGACGTAACACTTCTCCATCACCGTGTCCGAACGTAACCATCCGATGACGTACATTACAGTTCCAGTTCACCGAAAGGTCATTCACTTATAAGGCAGGCACATTTTCTTATTTCTATGTCTTTCACAAAGAGAGAGGAAAACAATGTTTAGAGTACAAAAAGGAACGAATTCAGAACGTTTTGACGCCATCGTCAATGAAACGTCTTTGTGATTATTCATAAAGCCTGAAAACGGCGTTTGGAGAATCCATTCCCCTCCAGACGGTGAACTGATTTTTTTTTACAAAAGGTTGTGATGAAGGCCTCCGACCCCAGATATTTTCATCAGACTTTTTAGTATTCATTTTTGTTTGTGTGGGTTTGCTCCTCTTTTTCTTTTTTCTTCCTTTTGCCAAACAAAGGGTGGCCCTGAAATCCATGCAGGAGCAAACAAGCACAGAGGAAATAATTGCGGCTGAAAACCTCGATGAAATACGTTTTGAAGGTCAACACGTCCACGAGATTATTCATCTGTGCACTTATCCGCTGTTTTCAATAAGTCCTCAAAATGCGCTAGGCTGCTATTTCATGCACAGACACAACAGTGCAATGTATTAAATTATCACTCAATTAGCTATTTTTCCTTTAGTAATTAACCATCAGTGCAGATCATGCATTTTTTATAATGTACTAAAAGACTTTTCTTTCTTTCTTTTTTTTTTGCACATCACTGGTACTCAGACTTCCCTGTGTAGCTCACAAACTTGCTTTTAAATGCACCTTTAAACTTTAATTGCATTATGTTCTATATTCAAGGCAGTTTGAAATTGCTGTCTTTGATTTTGGTGCTCCTGTTTGCAAATCAGCTTTCTCCGCTTTCAAACCAGGAATTGACAGCAGATCCAAACGTGGGGTTCGGGTTACGAATCATTCGTCCCCCGCAGCCGCAGGGGCGTGCTCGGCTACGCGCAACTTTTCATATTTCTTCTGAGGCCCGTGGAAAATTAATGGCTGCATCAATCATGCGGCTGATCCAGAGGAGAGAAAAGTACAAAGTGATGGCTGGAAGCGTCACACAGACACAAATGTGACTTAAACAGAGGAAGGGAGATTGGTCCCTGCAGAGTGCAGAAAGAAAGAAGGCAAAGTAGGAGAAAATATTGAAAAGATAAGATGGAGAGGCTGTTCAAATGAGACAAGAGGGAGACCGAAGCAGCATTTTGAGTGGAAATGAGCTTGAAATGAGCCCATTAATATCAGAAAGACAGATGGCATTTAGAAAAGATGTACACTAGAAAAACACCCTACTGAGACTACTAGCCAGTGCATATGTTGTGTGAAAACTTCCTTATGAATTTGAATTTGTTTCCTAATTAAGCAACTTACCAGATGACTGTTTGGCCTCGTGGGCAGCCGCCAGACAAAGAGGAGGCCTCGGATTCAATCTGGTGAAGTGGAGACTGGAGCAGCCTGTGTTCAGTTTTAATATTGTTGTGTTTGACTTACGAGTATTTAACCCCTTTCAATCAACCAGTCAAAGCACATTTCAATATGAAGGCATGTCAAAGTCAAACTAGGAACAACGTTTAGATGAATCGCAGAACCTTTTGAAGCTAAGACTGCGGAACCTACCGTCCATTACGATGGCGGTGGCACCATGTTGTGGATTTCACAAAGTAAATATGAACAAGGATTTCATCCATCGATTCAGCTGATGGATGGATGAACCTTGGACACAGTTGACTCATGTGGATTAGACTTAATCCTTATTAAAGCACTGAAATCTTGTTCTTAAACCTGGGTTTGCTATGCACAGTGTGTTATTATGACCACCATTGGACTCATAGTTTCAAACTGCTAAATCAACCAGGCAAGAGTCGGTGTGGATTTTAACACAGTGTTTTACTCAAGTGATTTTGCTGACTCCCCAACTCGATCGTCGCAGTTTGTTTCACCTCGATTCTCCTTTCTGGGCGCGTAATTGGCCATAACAAATGCCCTTCCTCCAGGGCGCGCCGCAATTAGATCCTGCAGCTTTGTGCCAGCCGCTCTTTCAGCTCATGTTGCTGTCAATGAGCTCCTTTTTTTTTTTTTTTTTTACTGCCTTTGGGTCATTGTGTGAATAGGTACAATTGTTTCACCAACAGTAATAAAAGCAGGATTAGTGAAGCTCTTAAGTTGGATTGATGATAACTACGCTCCTGAAGAGCTTCGGCTATTCCTCGGTGCAGCCTGCCGGAGCAGACATCTTCTGTAGTTATAATACTGCAATCAATGAGGCTGAACCTGTTATGCGGAGACTGAATGTTTGTCGTTCATGTGTGATGCGTGTCTTGTCTCCACAGTTTCATCCTGGTGTTTGGCTGTCTGGTTCTCTCGGTGTTCTCCACCATCCCAGCTCACCAGGAGTTCTCCGCGCACTGCCTGCTCATCCTGGTAGGACATGCAGACGGACCAACACGCACTCCCAGACAGACCGGCTCATTAAACCAACACAACCAGAGGCTGCATGCCTACTTAATAATGTAGAAAGGTATCATTAAAGGCAGATTATTAGCAATTAATGGGTTTGCCTAAGATAGAAGGTATAAGATTGAACCTTTCTGATGGTCTAATGGGTTGTTATTTTCAGAATAAGATGACGTCCAGAATTAAACCTTGACAGTACAGATATTTCTGTAAAACCAGGAAAATATAGTCTCGATTAACTATATTGTGGGTTTTTTTGTTGTTGTTGTTGTTTTTACTTTAAGGAGATGATTTCACAGTTCAGGCTGTAATTTGCCACATTTAGAGGTTTGCGTGAAGCGTATACACTGGATATAAGAAATGTTGTCTGTTATAGTGTCAAGCAGGATCAGAATAAATCACTTCACCTGAAATCGATCCACCTGAACAACATGAACTCAATGGGCAAACAAACTGTTCAGAGGGACAAAACGGAACTAAAACAAAATGGCTAGGATGACTTGAATATGGCTTTTCCATGAGCTCTGACAAATTAGGAGTATTTTTTATCTTTTGTTTGCATAGACTAACACCGAAGATGTCCAAGTCAAGACAGACCGCTACACAAAAACACAGACTGCTCCAACAAATCAAATGTTGATTCCACAAAGTAGCATTCAAGGACGTTACGTGCCTGATTTATTCTCCATCAGAGGAAGATTTCACTTTGTTTTTCCACTTAGATTTACCAGATATCATCAGAAGCGTGCAAACGTAGATCTACATCCTCTGTGGCTGCAGGAAATCACATTTGGTGCGAGTGTGAAACACTCGCTGAAACGGTGCTACGATTCTCTAAGTTTGCGTGTTTGTTAATGTTGCTCACAGCAGCAACAGACTGCTGACTTTGCACACCCAGGCCTAAAATGATGAAGCTCCACTGCCAGGTGAAATCCATATCACATTCAGCCAAATTAGCATAAGTGATTAAAAGAGTAATCCGTCTGCCAAACAAAAGCCATGAATCTGTAGCAGAGTTTAATTGAATGCATAAACTAAATTATATCACCTTCTGTCAATCAAATCTGGATTAATCCAGAATTACATTTTTTGAAACTTGAATAATCTTGGAACCATTTGATGAAATGCCACCGTTATTCTTGGGTGAAGTCAATCAAAAAGAAGTTTTAAAGATTTAAATCACATTTAATTCTTTAGAAACTATTTATAAACTCATATTTATGATGTATATTTGTTTGCAAGGAAGCTTTTTTTTTCAGATTTATTTCTTCTGGACTCCTTTTTTTCCTTTCTAAAGTTGTGTGTGTGTGTGTGTGTGTGTGTGTGTGTGTGTGTGTGGGGTGTGTGGGTGTGTGTGTGTGTGTGTGTGTGTGTGTGTGTGGTGTGTGTGTGTGTGTGTGTGTGTGTGTGTGTCCCGAAGGAATTTGTGATGATTGTAGTATTTGGCCTTGAGTACATCATCAGGATATGGAGCGCTGGCTGCTGCTGTCGATACCGAGGCTGGCAGGGTCGCCTCCGCTTTGCCAGGAAACCCTTCTGTGTCATAGGTGAGTCTCATAGGATGATAAATACAGAAAAGCACCAAAGATGCAGCTTGAAAATATTCATGTGACGCTGCGTTGAATCAGAATAGAGTTGCTCACAAACAGATTGTTAGAGTGCGAAGTTCTGCTGACTTTATTTGCAACTTTATCTGTTGTGCCGTATAAACCATTAATCAGAGTAGGCTTATGGTGTGAACAGCGTAATAGAAATAAAAACAGACTAACAAAAACATCTTGTCATGAATCAATAGCTGTTTTTAAAGGAGATAGATGTCTGCCTGGTTGGATGTAGAAACCAGGTGAGAATCCAGTTCCTGTTGCCTGTATGGTGCTTCCCATGACCTTTAATTTTCCCTGCTTTACTCCCCAGACATCATCGTACTCATCACCTCGGTTGCTGTGGTTTCAGCTGGTAGCCAGGGCAACGTCTTTGCCACCTCTGCACTGCGTAGCCTTCGCTTTCTTCAGATACTGCGCATGGTGCGCATGGACCGCAGGGGGGGGACCTGGAAGCTGCTGGGATCTGTAGTTTATGCACATAGCAAGGTGGGGTGTCGACGTCGCCCCTTTTTTCTTTCCTTTTGTTTTTTTTGGGGTTTTTTTGGCGTTTCCATCTCGCTTTGGGATGCGGTGGTTTGTTTGCACATCGGTGTTGAAATGTTCTTGTTGTTTCACTTGCAATAACCAGGAGCGATTTGTGCTGGTCTTTGCTTCTGCACGTTCTTGTACTCAGTCAGGGTTTGGCTTTCGAAACGTTTACATTGTTTCAAAGAGGAGAAAGGTGCAGCATTTATTAACGTAACAATATATATAAAAATGAATTAAGTGTTTAAATATTTAATGCATCGTCGGTGTAATCCGAATGAAGGATTGCTACACATGTAGGAAGTATTTACATTCCCCTCTTAAGTGCCAGCGCTGTATGTCTGCAAGTGTAATCGTTTTAAAAGTACATGATAGATCAATTTTATTAACGGGAAAAGACACGGAGCACGGAGCATAAACAGCCTCACATCAAGCATGCGAGTAAAAGTGATTTACAAAAAATCCCCTTGCAACTTACATTTCTACTACATTGTGCAGAGACTTTCAATGCACTCAGACTCCCAGGCTTTGTTGCTTTTTTTGTCAACACGGCCACCCTGATAGACTGAAATAGTCCAAAAGAAAGAGATCCAATTTTTACAATAATAACTCAATCAGCTGACTGCTGAATCAGCTGAATAATCAGCCCGTGTGTAAAATTTAATCTTAGTTCAAATCCAGGTTAGTGAAGGTCAGAGAGCCATGATTGGAAAAATTACTGAAAGACAAACCCATCATGAAGACAAGAGTCTGTATTATTTTTGTCTGGGCCAGGAACTATTTTTATTCAGAAGGAATACGGGACGATTATTTATCTTATGAATTATTGGATGGAAAAGGGTTTTATATTATATTATGCTCCTTTTCAGACTCACAGTCACCGAACAAGTGGTGAATTTACATGTATTTGTGCTTGTATATTTGGTAAGAAGGTATTTTTTTTACACATGGAAATATGAAAGTCTTGCTTTATTATTTTGTTTTGTTTGCGGACGAATTTAAAGCAGAATTATTTGCTAAACTCATTGATAATTGATTGTGAAACGATATATATATGTGTATATATAAATATATATGTGTGTATAGATACATATATATGTATATACATGACTTAATCATTTTGTTTAGGTTGAAGACTTATTTGGTGTCATATTTTGCATACCTCAGGATCACAGCCCGTGATGTCTATTTATTTTGTTTTTGCCAATTTATTTTCTAAAAATGAAAAAAAGAATCTCAATTACTTTTTTTATCCATTTGTAAACAAATAATGATCCTTCAGGGACTGTTTGCCACTTTCCTGTCAAAGCACAAAACGAAAGGTCTCGGTAAATGCCAGAGTGTGAACGGATATTTTTCTCTCTTAACCCTCGATTGTTCCAACGTCTGCTTGCAGGAGCTGGTGACTGCTTGGTACATTGGGTTCCTGGTGCTTATCTTCTCCTCTTTCTTGGTCTATCTTGTGGAGAAAGAGTTCAACAAGGAGTTTGACACGTACGCGGACGCTCTGTGGTGGGGCACGGTGAGGACACACATCAGACACTCGCACCGTCTCTTTGAATGTCACACTGTCCCAGAGACGCGTTTTTCAAACTCCGCAGGAGACCAAGGCTTACATTTCATAGAATTTTTACATCTGATATGACTGAGTTTGTCTCCTTTTAACTGATTAAGATACGCAAGAGCTGCTTTGTGGCGTTATGCAGTGTGTCATACGAAAGCCTTTTTCATCACTCTTTGACATTAAACCCAACCAGGTTCGGTTTAATTATTTCCATTTGCTTAATGTCAGAAGACGGGGACAAACTTTTCAGATAAATATTTATTGCTTTACTAAACTAGAAGTGTTAATATACTGGGATTATAGTGTTTTTAAGTCATTTGTAACAGCTAAGATGAGGATTTTGTAGCTTTGTGAATTTCCAATAAGTTAAGTCGCAGTATTTGAGGTAACTATGTAAGACGTCTTTGAATAGTTTTTAAGGCAACGCCTCAAATATAAGGAGCCTTCATGTGAAATCAATGAAAAATCAAGAAAATCTGGCAAGGTGTCAACAACAGAATTGCAGAAAATTATAAGTTAATTTCTTGAAGGCCTTATTATTAGATAAGCATAAAAATCATGTGAATGTCTGGAAAGAAGCCCCAGAAATTAAAGCATTGTGTAGCAAAATATGCATTGTTCAGATAATCCTGCAAGAACATGCCGGTGGAAAGGCCGGTCAGAGAGGAAGAAGCTGTTGCTCCAAAAGCAACATCATGGGATAAAAACCTTGCATTTTGGGGAAAAAAAATTTCCCAAAAAAGGTTTTGTGGTCACATGACGTCTTAAATAAAGAATATTATAAAGAAATGTTGAGGCAACATTTTGGGATATAAGGTAGTTGAACCAAATGAGGACAACAAAGTGAAAGGTCTCTTTCACCAAAGGTGTGCATGTACATTTCTAAATTTGAGGAAAGTGAGAACAAATCTCAGAAAAATCAGATTTTTCTGGCTATTCTGGTATTGATCAAATATGAATTATTTTTATTACTACTAACTGACTTGAAGGAGGAAAATCTGAGTTTTATTTATTGTATTTTGGTAAGAGGGGGAAAAAAATAATTTTAACAGAATTATGTAAACTTTCAGTTTCAAATATGAGAATTAAAATTGAAATTTTAAAATCCTCATATTAATTTTTAAACTTAACTTAGAGCCTTCAAATGCACAGAAGGCATTCTCTGCATTATTACAAAACTGACTTGGGTTTCTCTTGCCTATCTTTTTTAATATAATGTTTAAAAGACAATGAGGCACTTTAAAAAAAAGAAAAAAACAATCCTGTAATGCTGGGCTGCATTTTTTGACAGCAGTGCTACATTTCCATTTTCACTTCCACTGTGACCCTTATAACACCAGAAATCCAGAAACCACCACGAAGGTGTATTTCTTTCTTTTTCTTTTTTTTTTTTTGTCTGTAGTCACGCTTGGCTGGCCACACCGCACTGTTTCCTCCTATATCCTCTGAAAACGCGGAAGCAGACAAGACACAAACAAGAAATGGGCCGATCAATAAATTCAATCTTGTCCTGCTGCCAGGTGAAGTAGCCCTGAGAGGCTTCTGGCATCGACACTGAAGTTTGGCCACATAAAGCCTCAGAGATGTACGAGTCGGCACAAAAGCTATCAGAAGAGAAAACCGTGAGCCGGCGCTGCTGCGCAGACGGGTTCAGGAGTAGCTTTATGTCATTAATGTCTGAGGGGATGCTTGTCCTTCACGTTGATGGAGCGTCGCTCCAAATATGAATCTTAATGGCGTAGGAACATGTTTTTAAAAACATCTACATCCTCTATTCGATCTCTAATAGAGCGAGGTTCTGAAATGCTTCTGAGCTATGGGTTATAAAATTCAATAAAGCGTTTTCAAAGAGTTCTCATGTAGGTTAATCTGTGCAATACGACAGCTGAAGGGAAGTAATTTCACAGAAAGCAGTTTGAGGAAATTCTCGGAATAGGTATTTACTTTATAGTTTCTGACAGCAGCTGTTCATCCTCATATATATATATATATATATATATATATATATATATATAATATATATATATATATATATATATATAACATGTACTTGTTACTCCAGGTCAGGAATCGAACCCAGGACTTTCTTGCTGGAAGGCAACAGTGCTCCCAACTGCACCACTCTGAAAAACAATAATCAGAAAAAATAAAATAAAGGGCAACGAAGTATAATTCAAAGTTTTCAGAGCATAATAAACAATTCAGTTAATTGTAATATCATATTTTATCATGCTTTGACAATGTTTCTTTGCAATTAATGAAAGGATCTAAATAAAATAAAAACCAAACTAATGTAATGTAGTTTAAATACATAGTAAGATGTTTTATTTACTGGGTTAGGGGTGAAATGACCATGCATGGCTTTGAAAAGGGGCTGCAAGTTGGTGAAGGAATGAACTGACCCGGAGTCCATCCAGAGCGGTGTGTGTTTATGCAGGCGCAGCAGCAGGCAGAGTGGGTGACATGACACAGACGGGCCCTGGCAGCGCCACCGTCTTCCCCACTGGAAACATCGTTAGGACGAACAAGGCAGAGACTCTAAGCAGACATAAAATTTGATCAGCGAAACCACATGAGCATCTTTGGTGACGTTTAGATAGCTGAGCACCCAAAAATGGCTCTGATTGTTAAAAATTGTCACATATCATGCAAATAATGTGCTGGGAAAAAGGTTTTGTCAGGGACTCCTGGTGTGTGTTATTTGAAAAAGCTGTGATCAGTACCCTGAGGTCATGCTTGAAATCAGACCTCTTCATAATGCCACCTTATTCAAAGTTGTGCCTGGAAAAAACGGCAGGATTTTTTTTTTTTTTTTTTTTTTTTTTGCATATTCACTGCAAGTGCGAGAGCAAACAAAATAATGATTAAAATAAATGTCATGTTGTCCATATGTTCCCTGTCCATATTTCTTTCTTGGACTGATGTTTTTTGCCACATTAAGCTCTTTTGTTTTTGCGCAATGCTGTAACTAAATAAACGGCAGAATCCTACTGAGATGAAAGTCAACCTTTTAACCAGACTGAACAAATATCTAGTAGAATTTAACTCTTTCTTTAGAGATTCAAAACTAAGTTGGAAGTTTTGTATGTCATCTGACATTTCAATAAGTATTTTTTTCCTGTGGTCACTGTTACAAAACTGACTTGGGTTTCTCTTGCCTATCTTTTTTAATATAATGTTTATAGCAACTCTAACTGCTGAGGTCACGACCTGATAAAACGAACAGAGATAAACCCTAAGAATGCAGAGGAAAAGGGTTTCTCTGCAATTTTTGTCAAGTTTTTCGAATTTGAAATCTGTGTTTCAGAGCAAACACACCTGACGATGTAACTTTGACCTTTCAGATCACCTTAACAACAATCGGCTATGGCGACAAGACGCCCCAAACCTGGACCGGCCGGTTACTGTCAGCCGGTTTTGCTCTGCTTGGGATCTCGTTCTTTGCTCTGCCAGCTGTGAGTGAACAAACTTCAGGAGATAATGCTTTGTCATTTTTATATCTTTTTTTTTTTTTTTTTACATTTCCTGTTGATGTGGTGTGGATGTTTGCCTGGCAGGGCATCCTGGGGTCAGGTTTTGCCCTGAAGGTGCAGGAGCAGCATCGCCAGAAGCACTTTGAAAAAAGAAGGAATCCAGCTGCCAGCCTCATCCAGGTATGAATGCACACAGTAACCAAAGACGTTTCTCATCCACCGGATTCTTCACTTCCCAGCAGCTCTTTTAGCGTTGGAGGTCCGGCATAAACACAGACGTCTCTCTTTCGTGTCATCCGGAAAACTCCACTTGTCTGTTTCGACTGCCTTGGCTTTTCTCTGTCTTTGTGTTGTGTTTGTTCACGTCGGGACGGCCGCGTCCACTGCAGGGAAACGTAGCGGCGTCTAATTAAGCGCTTGCTCTCTGTGAGCCTCTCTCCATGTCTTCTGGCCTTCTTCAGGACGTCAGCGTATCCACGTCAGTCGTATGGAGCGTGAGGCTGAGGCGCGCTGTCGTGTCTCGGGGAAACGATGCGGGGATTTATGAGCCGTTTCCATGGCGATCATTCCCCCAGGCAGACGCTCTCCTACATTGTCTGTCACTCATTGTTAGAAACAGGAGCATTGCTTTCCGATGGGGGGGGGGGAATGCATCGGCTGTGGGGTGTCGGCAGAAAGCAGCAGCCTTTCTCTGTTTCAGTGTTTGTTTGTTTTCTACATCTGAATTTTTGTTAGTGTGTCTGACATTATCTGTATGTCCTGTCATTCCTCCTTTCTTTTGTAGAGCACGTTTGCCTCGCTTTTGAAGCGATCTGTCTGGTAAAGTTGCTGGAAATCTGAACGGCTAAGCTGTTCCTTTCTTTTCAGTGCAGTTGTTCACGATGCTCAGCACCGTCAAAGGATAACAACATGCATCCAAGACCAAGAATACTTGTTTGCAAATCTGGAAACAAGTATTAGCCTTATGGTTTGGATCACTGTCGTACTGAAAGAGCCAGTGAAACAGGGGCAGAGCTAGAGGTGGGGGCCATGGCCGCGTTGGCCACCACTGGAACCTGAGTGGACATCCCAGGTGCCTCCCAAAGTTTGAAAAGAAAAACACATCCAAGTATTTATCAGTATTCCCCCCACTGAATAAATGCACTTCATGTAATTAAATCGCACTATGGCAATGTTCAGATTTTTCACATGTCTTTACCAAAACGGTCCACAAGAATAACTGACTAATTTCCATCCAAACTGGACAGCTGTTTGTTTGTCTTACAAGCTCTGTCCGGCTGCTTGACGTTTTGCTAAGCGCTTCATATTTTCTTCAACAGGTACCCGTCAGAAGGAAACGTGGAAGCCGTTAAATGTGCCGATGACAATGTGACTGTGTCTGTGCACTCCACCATTTCACACATCTCTCCCACCTTTCAATAACTGTTGGTTCTGTGTTGTTGCTGTCGCAGTCGTCTGCATGCAGGGCAGGAAATTACCACTGGTTTCAGGGCGCAGCAGTCGATCCATTCTTAAAAACGAACCGCTGCTGCGCCACCTCTGCTTCCTTTAAAATTTCAGAGCAAAATCTCCAGCGTCATTTCAAATTGGCTCCGTCTTTGGTAGGACTCCAGTGTTAATTTCAAACACGCCTGTCAAAAAATGTGTTGACACCAATCTTGTAACCTTACTTGGCACCAATAAGGAGGTTAACTGATCTTTAAGTAAAAAGTTAAATCTCAATTTGATTTGAAAAACAAACAAACAAAAAAAAAAACAATTTAAACGTGGTGAAGGATTATGCTCATTTCTACAAAACCAGCAAGTGTTACATCAGAAGCTTATTCAAATTTATGCCTGTTGAGTCAAACATTTTCCTCAAGGAGCAGATACAAATTGTAGCCTTTGATTATTTTTGTTTTTGGCGGAAATGCTTTTCTTTTCAGCTGATTTTCTTTATGAGATCTGTAAGATTTATGCAAGAAATTACATAAGTCTTTAACTGGAAACTCAAAAATCCCATCCTTTTTCAGTCAACGAATACACCACGCCTCAAAAGCAACAGACTGCGCTAAAAATAACAGTCTTTGGTGTGGAAGTTGTTCCTGAGGGAAGTAAACCCAAAGCTTATGATTCTCAATATCAGCGAGGTGTTTTCATCTTTCGAGCTTTTAACCGTTGCATATTGTGGAGTGTAATGGGTTAATGTAATAACCTGGCTTGAGAGACTAAATAGATCAGCCATCTACACTTGCTGACTTTAATTGTGCTGATCCTTAACAAAAGAGGATGCCAGACTGTTTAAAATATGAATTTCAGAATCGCTTTGTCTTTGTTTAACCTTAGCAAAGACATATTTTTCATTGAGTAAAATTCATAGTGGGAACTTTAGAACAACACGAGAGTTTTCCTGCTGCAGTTTCAAGAACTGAGAGCTTTTCCGTTTGATTCCGTGCTAATTACTGTGAGCAAAACCAGCCAATAGCACATTTTCCCAAACTTTAGACATTCATGTGCAGAAAGAACATGTTTGAAATTGCATGTTTTTCTACCATTAAAACTTAAAACCTCATTTGTGTGAACATAAGTGCAGGTTTGCATGAAAGAAACGTTGCAGCAGGCTGATCATGAAATTCATGATGCTCCTGTGAAGCTTACAGAAGCATCAAAGACGTTCATTCAACTGCTGATAAATTCAAAACAAAGTCTTCTGAGAGCATCCTGTTTTATCTGCAGTTGTAGAGCGAAAGTATGTGGGATTTTTCAAAACTGACTCGTGTTATGAAATGTGGAAAAGAAATGTAGGTTTTACTGAAAATTGATTCATTTCAATCACTGGCTAATTGATTGGTAAATCATCAGTTTATGGTAACTCTGTAAAGCAAACTGTGCACACTGAAGTATTTTCTCTCACCGCTGTTGCAGCATCTGGTTTGTGCTCCAATTGGCTTCAAATTTGACCGAACGTAAACTCTGAAATGCTGACGGCGCAGAAGAAGGAGGCGAGGGGATCGGTTTCTGTTCGGCTTGTCAAATCAGCGAAGCTCCTTGTTTTGAAAACTTCTTAAATGTTTCGGACCTCCCGTTTGCTGCCAGCAGGTTACAATCCCTCTGTGTCAAATGTTTGCATTAATTTCCGTTCCTTCCCCTCACTGTGTTTGTGGGAGTTTTTTTTGCCCTAATGTGTGGTGTTTTTCTGTGTGTTCCACATGAATGTGTGTGTCCTGTCCATCTCTGACCCCTCCCCTGGCCCCCACTCAGGCAGCTTGGCGTCTGTACTCCACCGACGGCGCTCGTCCCTACCTCAGAGCCACTTGGCATCACTACCAAAGCGCGCTCCCCCCCCTCAGGCATGTATCCCCTTCACCAGCACCACCATCACCGCCCCACCTACCCTCCAGTACCCCACAACACTGCATCAGCACTACCAAAAAACAAACAAAAAAAAAAAAACTAACAGATTTTCTTTTTTTTTTCCCCCTCTCGTTTTGTCCCCTCCCCATCATCATTATTCTCTCATGTCATTCCCAACTTATGCAATCCCACCCGTTTTTATTTTCCTCCCCACATTCCATTGATCGTTTCTTTTACGATTATTTATCCTGTCGACTTTGCACGTAGTGTGTCTGGCGTAGTTATGCTGCTGATGAGAACTCGGTTTCTATTGCTACCTGGACGCCTCATTTGAAGGCGTTGCATACCTGCAGCCCCGCCAAGTAGGTAACAACTTACAGACTTACAAACATGGCCGCTGCTGTTTAGCGCCCTTTCCATTGTTTCCTGCTCCTCAACTGATGTCTGATGTCTGCTGATGTTGTTTCTGCTCTCCGTTGACTGCTTGTTTATAAAACCGTTCTAATCATTTCTGCATCTTTTAACATTTTCCTCCTAAATCGGGCTTGTTTTGCTTGGCATGTACAACTTGCAACATTCCTTTAACTTTGAAGCTAATCAGAGACCCGCTGGGGCATCAGGTTTTCTGCTGATACTTTTGATTTCAACGGTCAACACCTATTTTAAAAGGTGTTTTTTAAATAAGATGGCCACGAATTTAGGTAATCTAGGATTTTCCAAAATATATTTATTTAGACCAAGACAAACTAGTGCATTGTACAAACGTAGAAGGATTCACGTGCGCTGCTTTTATTTTGCTTTAAAAGTCTGAAATGTGTGGCATGCATTTCTCTTAAGCCTCAAAGTTTGAAACCATCATCTGAAAATGGACAAAGGATGACAACACTGAAAGTCTTCAACAAACTAAAAGAAGATAATATATCAGAGAAGCAGTCAAGAGGTTCTTCCAGAATGAACCACTGCATTAAAATATGTCAGAATCCAAATTTAGTACAAAATGCAGCAAAAAGTGTCTCTGCAAACTGTTCGACATGAACACGTGCCACACTTTTTGTATTTTATCCATTCATACAAATTCCTGTGAACAACCAGCTCTTTGAATTTGGTGCATCACTTAAGATCCCAATGAAAACTTAGAATTTATTTGCAACAAAGCAAAATCTGCAAAAATTCCTTAGGCGTGAATACATTTGCAAAGTAGCAACACACTGATATTCAGAGTTTAATCGAACTTACATGCTCAGTCAATGATTGGCTTAATGTTTCACAAACACACAGATTATACATAGCAAGAAAAAACTTATATAATGAATCATTTCAGTGGTTTGTGCAGTGGCACCCCACAGGGATGGGATCAGGGGGCCCATGGCCCCTTCTTGAAAAATGTTGGCCTCTCACTGAGAATTATATTCAGGTCATTGAAAGGCATACAGACTCATCTTCAATCAAGAGACAAATATAAAATCCTCCAGAATAAATTATTAAATTAAAAATGATAGAAAAAGATGTAAAAATAAATAAATATAAATTTTTTTTTTTGTTGTTGTGCTTCCCTTAAATTCTTACTGGCCTGCTCTGGCAACCCCTATGACAGTATTGCGGGGCCGTCACAGGGTTCGTGGGTTTTCTCTGAGCTGATGCTGAGCTTTTCTGTGCATGGCGACAACTTGCATGTGCTTTGATGAAAGCTGGTTGTGAAGTTGATTTGGCTGGATGCCTTCCCTAACCATTGACGGAAATGTCCATACGATTTTATTCTGCTTGAAAACTGACTTCTCTCCCTTTGTCTCCTCCTCTGTGTCCCACTAACCACTGAAGGAAAGAGCAGGGCGAGACTGCCTACAGGTTTGTATGACTCGCAGTTCGTACGCATGAAACCACACAGACTGTGAACATGCAGTAAAACTCAGATTAGTGCTGATGCCATGTTGTAATTTTTTATGCACTTTCATCTGGTTTTCTGGGCTCTTTGCGTATTTGTTGACATGTTCATCTCCCATTTTGAAGTGTATGCTATGACTCACATATATTTATTAGCCTGTTGACATTTGCTATTGTGAAAATTAGCATTTGAACCTTTGCTGATTTTGAAAGTTAGCAAAGTGTTATAACAGATACATTCATGCTACATAGAATATCAATGGAAAATAATGAAAAAAATGATATAAATAGAGATTTACTAGTCAACATCAACCTGACAGTTGTGATATTGACTTATTCTAATTTCACTGCAAGAACTGTGACACAAAGTCTAAAAACAGATGTTAAAATGTTTTATTTGTTTCCTATTGTGAGCAACCACTAAGTTACGAACAGAACATTTTACTTATTGAAAGAAAAGACACAAGTTGACATCTTAGTGTGGCTGGAATTACGGGGCAGATTTAGAAACATAAAGATAATTTCTCTAATTTTGACATTTCCTGCTAACATTTCAGGAAACCAGCATATTCCGCGGCAGACAAGTTGAACGCTCTCACGGATAACACACAACAAGCTCAGTCTGTTATACAAGGAATCCCTGTTATTTGCTGAAAGTCTGGCTCTCTCTTGCTCTCTTGCAGCCTCCATGAATCACAGTTATCTCTCGACACGCTACGAGAAAAATAGCTTCCTCACACATCGCTGGTATTAAAATCTGCTGAATTTGGGTTTTTTGTTAGGAAGAACTTCCAACCTGGAGAGTGTTGTTGTAGTTGGGCGTTCACCAATCACAGAATGATCCCATGTTCAAGATTCCACTTGAACTGGTTGACTTAAACATAAAATCAACCAGTTATGTTATTAGGCGTTTTCTCTGTGCAACGTTAGATAATACTGTTGCTTCGATGAATGGGAGGGGAAAAAAAGTTTGAAAAAGCCACACTGTGGTGTTAGAACACACAAAGTAAAAAGCCCAAATAAGCAGGTTTATTTTGATGAAGGTTCATCAAAGACGTTAAGATCTCTCTTTTTAATTCTGTGCATGGTAAAGCTGGTTTCTGTCTCCGTCCAGCTCCTACATACAATATATTCCACTACATACTGTTGAACATACACCAAGAAAAAAACAAAATAGTATTTTGAGCCACTTGCAATATTGCAGATAAAGTGCAAGGTGCTGTAGAGCAATATTGTGTGAAGATGTAGTATGCTTCTATCCTGTGACAAAATTTTCATGTTGAACTTTACCTTTTCCAAGTTAAATCTTTCTCGCCTGTTCTCTTCCCTGACTTGACCCTTCATCCCTACAAGGTTGATTGTTGTCCCTGATGCGCGAGTGTGTGAGCATTTCTCATCTTGTACACTGTACTATTTGTTTATCCAAGAAATATTTTACAAGAACCCGCCGCCCCAAAAGAAGACATGTTGTTTAGAGTTAGGCACCAGGTTCAGGATTAAAGCATGAACTGAGTTTAGAGCTGGTAATGCTTAGGGTTAGTGTCAGGGTTAGGCTGTAGAAATAAATGGAAGTCAATGCAAAGTCCTTATGAAGATAGAAAGACGTAATCTGTGTGTGTGTGTGTGCGTGTGTTTATGTGTTCGCTCCCTTATTCTTTATCACATGCCTTCAAAGACAGAAGTCTGTACCATGTCTGTACCATTACACACTTTTTCCATTGAGATGGTATTTATATAACTCATCAAACACAAAGTCTAGCGTCGACTGACTAAAGCTGAAGACAGGGGGAGGGAATCGTAATAAAGGGGATTCAAGAACAAGAGGAGTTTACAAAAAAACAGAAAAAGATTTGTGAGTTTAATTACGCTAGTATAGTTTTTACAGAGCAGCGTCTCTTTGTCAACATTTGGAGGGCTCATGTTGAGCCAGCAGCTTCATATGCATTTAAACTGGAAACCGCCACACTCCTATGTAAGTCAAAAAGAATCCGTTTGCGCTCTCTGCCAAACGCACAAACAAACATACGTCTCATTCTTCAACAAAGTAGGACTTAATTAGGCTTTGTCGCTTCCACAACAGCTATTCCCCAGAAATCCTTCTGCCTCAACGACTTAACATAATTATGTTTTCCTTTGTTCGAAACTTTCTGCCACAGCCAAGTCCAATTTGCACTTGTTAAATCATAATTACCCGCACTTTTATGACACTCTTTTCTTTTCTCCACGCTGCCCTGTTTTACCGAGGGAATACGTAAAGCCTTGGCGTTATTAGCGGTTTTACAGACTGTCGACTCTCGGCAGCTCGACAGCGGTAGGTGCCGTGGTAAACGGCCTGTGATGTTCGTTTAGCAGACTTGTAAACACCAGCAGTTGTAAACGCTCGGCGCACCGCAAAGTGCTGCAGCGGATATCAAGCTGTGTGTAAGTGAGTTGTATTTTGGCAGCGTGAGATGAAGGATAACGGAGTTTACTCTTTGGGTTATGAGCGTAGACAGGTGGGGTATGTTGAGCTCGCTTGCCTTTTGTGGCGCACTTAAGTTTAATTCAGCCCCTATGATGTGGAAAATCAAGAAAATAAAAACACTGACCAATAAACAATTCGTGAAATTAACTTGCCTCTTTGGTTGCTTTCAATCTGGATGCTATCTGTAAATGCTTAAAGCTACAGCGGACGATCTGGTTTGTTATGTCAAAGTCCTGAAGTTTTGGAGCTTTTTGTTTGGCAGCGTGGCTCGGATAGCAGCTTTCAATCCAAGCTAAGCAAACAAGGCTATCAAACATGTCACATTTAATCTAAAACCGGCCAAACTGAACATGAACACAACACATTCTTCAGCCCTTTGTTTGACAGACAAATGGTGAGAAATTTGTTCAAACCGCAGTGCCTTCCAAAAGTATCCGTACTCCTTGATTTTTTTACATTTTTATTTTCTTTCTTTTTCCATGTTCTGTCACGACACAATCCCAAACGTTGATTTATTTCATTGGAATGTTAATGCGACAGACCGACGCAAAAGGAGTACGTCACGGAGGAGTCAAATTAGTGAGATGGATGGTTTTTAAGATTGTTTTACTAATAAAGAAATGTGCTGTGTCGGATTTCTATTCAGCCTCCCCGAGTCAGCATTTTGCTAACCCAACTTCGCCTGATTGTAGCTGCATCTCTTTTGGAGGACGTCTCATGACCTTTGGACTTTGATCAAGCCATTCCAAGTTAGCTCCAGGTGTAATTGTGGATGCAGGATTCTTGACTGTAGCCAGGTCTTCAGCTCCGTTCGCCCTCCCTTTAATTTGAAAGAGTTTCTCTGAAATTCGGATCATTCTGAGCCATCCTGTGACATGAAAGAAAAATGATCCTAAACCTTTGGGTGAGAAAATAGATTCAGTGTCAGGAAAATACTCCATCCATGTGTTTCATCCCAACTTGAGAGGTTCTTGAGCTCAGGTGGGTATGCCGCTACCCGTTTAGCTTTCCCCCTTTGAAACGTGTCCTCTGCCCTTCGGTGAGTGTTGAGTGTGTGTGAGTCCTGAAAGCAAAGTCTCTGACCTGGTTCAGCTCAATTCCTCTTCCTCTTTCCCCCTTCCTTTCCTATTCTCTCTCTCTCTCTCCTTTAGTAAGGGTCTAACTAATGGGGGACTCTTCAGAAAGTGTTCTCGGAAATATAGGAGGTACTTACAGTGGCATTTTCTCTGGCCTGGCCCAAGCCCAGAACCTCATGCGTATGACTGACTAATAGCATGAAAGAGAGAGAAAAAAAAAAAACCCTTCCTCATACAAATCCCCTTTGTCCCTTTTATGATAAAAAATAAATAAATGAATAAAGATTTTGTCTGAGACGGCCACTTCTGCCTGCTGCCTGCTGAATGCAAACGAGACCTTGGTTGCAAGTAACAATTTAAAGGGGAATTACGCCAGAACCAGAATAATGCTTGTCATTATCTTTTTATAATTTGATACTTCAAAGGCTTATTTTACCCCAATAATCTGACCAAAGTTTCAAAGTCAAACTCTAAATTCCCCTTTATTTTATATATTTATATAATTTCTTTCATCAATAAGTGCATTTCATGTCATTTACAGCATTGTGCTGAAGCTCTCACATGCTTCTCTTTTTCAGAGCCAAAGCTTCCTGTAATCATTTAACGGAGGTCTTAACGCGGCGATGCCCAGGACTTTTTGACAGTCTTTCAGAGTGTTGCTTCTACCTGGGCACGCAGCAAATGTGTCTTTATGTCGGGCCCAAAACCCATCTACCAAAGATATTTTGTATTTTGACAGTTGTGTCTTTTAAGGATTAGGGAAGCAATTAATCAACAACCTAACACAGACCTAAGGGACGGGCTCTTGTTTTGAAGTGATCCATGAAGTTGGGTTTTTGTTTTGACGTGCCACAGACCTGTTAGGAGTAGCAGCCGTATCTGTAAAATCCCCCGGAGCTCAGAAATCAACTCTTTGGTCAGCATAGCATCTGAGTTTACTTGTGTTTGGGCGCCACGGTAACTCACTGACCAATCGGCTGCACCGTCAGTTTCGTTAACAGCTCAGATTGCACCTGTAGGTTTCACAGCAGACCTCTCCTTGTTGTCTCGGTTGCGCTCGCACACATATTTGTTTTCCGGTCTGGAAATAGAAAACAGAGGACATAAACTCAGCCCATTTCAAGTTAATTTAAAAATTAACTTTAAATTGAAACTCTCCTGTGTTATACTCGCTGTACCGGCCTCCTCTGAGTTGGAGTATATCTATGCTGATCCTAGATGAAGCTTTCCAACAGCTCAAACTAAATAAATAATGTTTTATTTATTTATTTGCTTTTCTTTCCTTCCTTTCTTCCCTCCTTCAATCCCAGACATATTTGTCATAAATTCAAAGTGAATTTTTTGCCCTCAATACTTTTGTTTAACCCATTGGCTGTTGTGGACCCATTGGATAACCATTTGGAGGTGATCGTCAAGAGCTTTTAAACTCATATTTTTACCATAAAAATTTGAGTTTAAAAAAAAAATTTTGAAAAGGAAGTGCGTAGGAATCCGTCTCTAACTTGCAGGGTCAGCATCTGTCTCCACACACACACTGTATCCTCACCCAGACTGGTCATGTCTGTTTAGCAGTAAGTCAGTTCAACTCCTGCACAAGTTCCTAACTAATCCTTACATAAAACTCAACATGAAACCAAACCTAATGTCTGATTCTCCTTGACCGAGAGAGACCGCTGTGAATGTGCACACAGGCTTTCTTGGACGAGAACAATTTGAAAGGCCTTCAAAAAGTGGTCAAATGCCTGTCAAATTACGTTCATGTAATTTTAAGTATTACATGAACAGCAACATACAAGAAGTGAGAATTCATTCAATACTGTAAAGCATTGTCCACAAGCTGGAAATCTCGTGAATTTCCTCCTAATCCTTGCATGAACCACTGCAGCTCAGCGTCAGCCGAAGATCTCCTCTGGGCATTTTAACGCAGCTGTGACAGTTTAGTAAATGATCAGCTGTTCTCGTCTAGACAACAAAAACATCAAATGAAGCAATTCCTGGAGCCGGACTGTGTAGTGATATAATAATGTGTGACATCCCTGACCCTTTAGTCGGTCAGGGATGTCACGGCAGTCGACTCAACATTCTTCCTGCATGCTTCCTGCTTTACTGCTGCCTGTCTTGTTTTCATTCCTTAGTTATTGGAGAGGAGAACATCTTTTTTTGTAAAAGAAGAATCTAGCAAAAAAAAAAACCACGTAGTTTTGTGGTGATTGATATTCTAATTTCTGTTCAGATTTATGAGCCAGTAAAACTCACAGGAGACGGAGAGGTTGAGAGAATTTAATTGATTTAGGGCAAACGGCATGCAGTAAGAAGCTAACATACCTTCAAGATGGGATGAATGTTAAATATGTTTTGTGTTTTTCACTATTCATTTGAACAATTGTTTTCCCGGAGTGGGATTGCTATTGAATAAACTGCAGAATCGGACACACCAGTTTGAACATGTCTGAATTTCTCTCATTAATTTTAATATAATTAAATAAAAACTTTAAATGTTTTTCTGTTAATTATGTTTTGTTTGTTTTTTTGTTTTATTGTCAAAAAGTTGCATCCGCAACAACTGAATATTTCACAATCATTCCACCCTGGGTAAGATAGTTAATATAATCCTCAGAACCCTAAAATGATTAACATTCATGCTTATAATAAAAGTTTGTCAACTTTTGAACACATCTGCTGAAGATATGCCTCTTTCTTTTTGGTCTACCGCATTGCATGCTGGTCTCTGCTCATTAAGTGGAGTGTGACTCATGTTTTGCATTCGCAGCAATAAATTAATAAATATGTGACTAATGTGGAAAAAAGAGACATTATTCTGTGTCTAAAGTTGCTGATGCTATGAGCTTTTTGCTTCCAAGTGGTGAAAGATTAACTGAGCGATGGAGACAATGACTGGTCATAAAGATCCAACATTAGTAGTTCTTGTATAATTTCAGCAAAACATAAATTACTAAAGTAGAAAAAAAAATGTAGTAATGTAATTTGTCAAAAGAGTCCGTGGAGGATTTTGTCTTTTGGCAAAAAAAAAAAAAAAAAAAAAGCTGCATGAGCAACCAAGAGGAAGAAAAGAAAGAAAAAGATATAAAAGTAAATCATAGTAAGGTTTTAACAAGCTTCTCTCAGTACTGGTGTCATTTGTTTAATATGGACTCAAAATGAATGTGGTGATGATGTATTAATGGCGCCACGCTTTACATATCACCTTTAAAAATCTCATTAGGTTTGTTTTGAAAAGAGAATAGATGAATACATTATCAGCTCATCGCTTGCGGCACCTTCAGGGTCCAGCGAGGAAGCGGTTTCTACTTTTTGGTGGCTTGGCGGCCCTTCTGGCTCCGTTTTAAAGTTTTGGGCATGTTGTTTGGATGAATGGGGTTTGGTCAGAGGGAAAATATGAGAGCGCTGCTCTATGCGCCTGAACTTTTTTCACTATCTGAAGAGAAATGATTGCAGTCAGCATCCATTGTTTCTTGTCTCCAAACACACTTCTGTCTTTCCCTCACCTCTTCTATTTCAAATCTTTCCTTTGCTTAAAACTTTTCCTGTTTTTCTTTCTGCATCCATCAGCTTACCCTCTCCTCTCTTGTGTTTTTATTTGTATTTTTTTTAATTTCTTTCGCACATTCCCTCAGTCAAAAGCTGAGCTTTAAGGAGCGGGTCCGGATGGCGAGTCCTCGAGGTCAGAGCATGAAAAGTAGGCAGACATCCATCAATGACCGCCAGCGCTGTTCCCCTGGCAACGAGGTGGTGGGCAGCAGTGAGCTAATGGGCGGGAGCCCCGCCAAAGTGCAGAAAAGCTGGAGCTTCAACGATCGGACCCGCTTTAGGCCATCGCTGAGGCTGAAGAGTCAAACCCGCACCGCGGCTCCAGACGGTGAGCATGGCACCAAACGACTGGTTTACTCACCAGGATTCATCTTTTTTTTTTTTGTCTCATTTCTTTTCAGGTGGTTAATTTTGCTCAAACAGACGAACTATGTCAAAATCATTGAGAGGATTTTAAACTTTCGTTTGCGTCTTTCAAATTTGAAAGATTTGCTTAAGGAGAATTGCTAATAAATATCAAGGACATTGGTTCACAACACTGCAGATTTAAACCATCTCCTTTTCTCCTTTGCATTAATTTTAAAACACTGAAAATCACAAACGTGTGTCTGTGACTTCTTCCTTCAGTCACAACTTACTCACTGAAGAGTGTTGTGATTAGCCCCATATTATAGAACCTGGTGGAGATATAATGTGGTACATTTATTAGTCGGAAAAAGACAGGATTCTTGAGTTTCCCTGTCATCAGTCGAGGTGAAGGTCCACTAATTAAAGGTACCAGTTAATTTTTTGTGCTGGATTAAAACTCGAAATCAGCTTAATGAGAAAAACGCATTCAAAGTTGATTTAGCACATTTCATTTCGTTTAAAAATAGAAATAGAAAGTTTAGCCTGATTTCTGATTTTGTGTTTAAAAATGAAAAGAATAAGGTAAAATAATGATGCATACAAAAACCCAAACCCATGTCATCCAAGAGCCTCCACAGGCTTGTTGTTGACTGTGATGCTGTGGGCAGGAAAGATCTCTGGTAACAGCCAGTCTTGCCACACAGACGTCTCTTTAAATCTCTGTCTGATTGAGAAAGATGTTGGAATCGGGGATCTCAGAGGTGGTTTGAACTTCCTCCTTCTCTCTCTGCTCTTTGTTGCTGCTCTACATCCACAAAACCTCCTTTTCAACTCCTTAGGGATTTTTAGGTTGCAGTTCAGGTGCTATTTGAGCTGTTAGGTGCCAAGCAGCCTCTCCCAGTGGTAAAAACAATACCTTGTTGCCATGGTTATGCATTGCAGCAACTGCTTGAAAGCAAAAAAAAAAAAAATAAGTAAGGCTAAAACTCCTTCCAACGGCATCCAAACATAAAGGGAATGATTGTCTAAACATGCAATGGGGTATCTAAAAAATATATAAAAGCAAAAGAAGAACAAAGCTGTTACCATGAATGATGCAATTCTGAAATTAATTACAGATAATTTTTTATAGGAATATTCTGCATAAAGCTTATTGTAAATAAATGGTAAATAGGTGGATAATGAATAGATAGCTGTCTAGCTACCTGTCTAGAAAGAGATGGATGGATGCATAGACAGGTGGACAGACCTCCTAAAGCCTTATATAGGTCAGTTGGCAAATCGCTTCTAATTCCTCATGTTCCCATCCAGACGGAGCATAAATCTTCACCTGCTTAAGGCCAAATAGTATCAGCTTTAAAAAGAATTCTTGACGTCTCCTGCAGAGACCCGCCTTGAAGAAAGTGCTTTATGGGTTTTTTGCGGACTGGAAATGATTTTCTACGGGCCTGCGTTGATTGATGGACCAGTGCTGCTGTCTCTTGCAGTGGACCCAGGCATGACCACAGACGATTCCTTCGATGAGAAAGGCTGCCACTGTGACATCACTGTGGAAGATCTTTCAGCTCCGCTGAAAGCGGTCATCAGAGCTGTCAGGTAGGCTGGAAAATGAACACATGAGCTTGAATTAGACTGAAACACGTTCAGGAGTTTGACCGCGTCACCTTTTGGTTCCCCATGGGTATTTCAACTTTTTACAAGACATTGTTTTTCAGAGTTTCTTCTTTTTTGTGTAGTCAAAATCTATAGTAAAAAGTTAAAGATAATTCCTCACCTTGAATTAACGACCTTGTTGTTAACAAATTTGTTCTACGATTGGCAAGAGTTTAGCATCAAAAGGACGATGAGTGCAGCAATTCTCACTGCATAGCTGTGCACCAGCCAGGATGCACTTGATTCTGGGCACTGCTCCTGACCGCAGCAGCAGTGCCCAGAATCATCAACACTTGGCTTTAATTTAAGACCAAAGAGCAATAAAACGAGGTGGACTCCTTTACGAGATGTTGAACTTAGACGGCCACATCGTTATTTGTCTGGCAGAGAAGACAAGCTCGGAACGAGTTATTAGTTTGGCACTTGAGCACTTTTTCCACGCAACATCGCTAAAGTCCTTCGGTTCCCATCTCTTTCGCTTTGAGAATCGGATCCACAGATGCACAAACTGTGCAAACCTTTACCTTCTAAAGTCCACTCAGCGGGCCACCTCCGTAGGTTGCCAGATCCCAGCTCTTTCCCAGGGTTTCAGGTTGAGGACCAGACACCCCGTCCCCCAGCCGGGTCTGTTTTTGCAGCGGGTCGTCTGTCTCGAGGTGTTTCCATTAAAACTGTGAACCAAACAGACAAGTGGAAACCAGCAGGGAATTTAAAGGAACAAAGACCATAGATCTTCTTACCTACGTCAATATTGTTCACCCCATCAGTGCCTCCCTTCAACAAATGGATGGAAGTAGTCGTTTGAATCTGAGGTGTTAATTTTTAGCTGTTGTAAAATTCGACTAATATTCGTTTTTGAACAGAAGATCTTGAGACAGACGTCAATTATTGATACCCCTGCAGATTTAGGTTGAAGCATTTTTATTTTTTTTTTTATCAACCAATAACTTCTTATTGCAGCAATGAGACCTTCATCTCTCAAGACAATAACACCCTTTGAATAATCAGAATTTTGTTTTCATTAGTATTTTGATGATTTATCTTTGGTGATGAGCTCTAAGTCTTGGAAAAACCTCCTTACCATCACTCTAATCTGATCTCCCTCCTCAGTTTTTTCATCAAATTAAAACTGGGACTCTGACTCTGTCTTCAGTTTTTATGCAGCCCAAATTTGGAACAAACTTCCAGAAAACTGTAAAGATGCTGAAAGACCGAGTTTGCCACCTTGAGATATAAGCTCAGACCTTCGGTGGATAAAATCCGTTTGAACTTGATCTTACAGTTCTTCCTGGAGCTCAGCCAGGTGAAAGAAACACGTTGGTAGAAAGATTACTTTAAAGCCAAACCTGCTCTAAAAGTTAACAGGAATAAGAATTCAAGTCTATGACCAGCAAGCTGCTGCCGCCATCTGCTGGTCGGTCTTAGCAAATGCATCTCATCAGATTTTTTTTTTTTCGTTTAGTTCTACTATCTCATGTACTTCCCAGTTATTAATCTTGTGGCAAGTTCCATTCATGCTACACATAAAGACACTGTGTGTTTGTGTGTCTATGTAGGATCATGAAATTTCACGTGGCTAAGAAGAAGTTTAAGGAGACTCTGCGTCCGTATGATGTGAAGGACGTGATCGAGCAGTACTCTGCTGGACACCTGGACATGCTCTGCCGCATCAAGAGCCTTCAGACGAGGTCAGAAAACACAAAAGCCCATGCAGTCACAAAAGCTTTACATTGTAATTCTGGAATATTTACAACCTTCCTCTAAAGGTTTAGTTTTAGTTCTATTTTTACAGACAGTGAATTTTTTCAGTCATTATTATAAACATTTTCACTTGCTGTGCTCTCATTGCCAATGGTCTGTATCTGAACTGAAGTACCTGACTGATATTTTTTGAATGCAAGTTACTTCACCAAAAAACAACAACAAAAGAACATCCTACTTCAGGATTCTTACTCTACCAGAGTATCTTTGTTTCCCTGTGTGCATGTTCAGTTTCTTTTCTTTCCACCAGACTGGATACAGTAGTTGGACCCCCTCCAAGGTCATTAAGAGGTCGTATCAAGACGTTTTCTTCTCCCTTGCTGCATTCATGTTACAGCCAGAATCAGAGGAAACACTCAGCGTCTGGGTTAGAATTGGCCTGCCCTGGCTCCCTGGCTCCCCTTTTAACATGGCTGGATGCAGCCTGGGTCAAACAACACTTTGATGCAAATTCAACCTGATTTGTTTGAAATACCACCATATTTGTAAACCCAATGCAACTCAATAAATTGCTGCAGAATATTTATATATCACAAGTGCAGGTTGACCCAGGTTTAGCAGGACGTTGTTTTCCTTCATTGGAGATCTTTAGAAATTCTAACTTTATTTTTATTTTTTTTACCTCAGTGGTCTTACAGAAAACTTGTCACATATTTCATAGCCAAAAGACAGTGAAATAAATATCACAAAATATTCTGATAAAAATTTTTATCGATATTTCCAATCCTTAGTGGTCAGATAAGATCAGCTAAATCAATAATCTGCTGTTGTTTGGTTGTGTTTGTTTTGTCAGTCTTTCCCCACGTTAAAAAACTTTAATATCACAAGCCTTATTTGAACAAACGAAGGGCCTTTTCTGTTGGCATTGTGTGCTATTAGACTTTGCTTGGTGGTGGGGAAAAAGTCAGGCTTTGTTCTTCTCCAACATTTCCTGCCACCAGAGGGCGACATACTGCAATTCTAAATGGGGACTTCAAAGACTTGTCCCTCCCGATGATGACAGAGTGAGCCTCTGCTGCAATGCTGAATAAGATTGAGATGTACAAATGATTCAAGTAATCAGTTGGAGTCGTGAGAAATGACACGCTGCATGCCAGAGTCCTGCCATGAAGACATTTTGATGTAGAATAACTTCATGAATATTGCGGAGCAAAGAACCATTTGCTTCAGTAGTCAGTGAATTGGGCGGCAGTGAAAATATTTTCACCAAACAAATGATTGTCTCATTGTGGAGCTCACACAAACCTGTGCTAAACTGCTAGCACGTCAAGGACTGACACGGTTTAGTTCTGCCTCGATAATTGACTCAATCATCTCAAGATGACATGCTTTCTTTGTTGCTTAACAAGCGACAAGGCTTGGAAGCCTACTTACGTCGCTTAATGTTTGCACACGCCTCCGCCCCTCACTTATCCTCTTCCTTGTGAACTGTCATTTGTAGTTTTGGTTTCTTTCATTCTTCCCGTGAAATGAACACTGCGTTCATGTCTTCCTGTAACAGCCGAAGAAGGAGAGGTTACCTCCTTTTCCAGTAAACCCAGTCTGTTTTGATTTGCTAACACCAGTGGACTGAGTCCTCACTGCCTATACTCAATCAGTCGTGTTGAAATGAGATGTAAAAAACCCCCAAAATCTCCATCAGATTGAACAAATTGTCCATGTTGTCCATTTATCTTTAACTGTTGTTCATATGAAGTACTTTAATGGATCTCTGTAAGACAATGTTTTTAAAACACTCAGGAAAGATGCAGTTGAAAACAGATTTAGATATTTTGCATAAAAAGGAATAATCATTATTCCTCACTGTCTGATTTTAAATTAGAGTGTTTTACCCTGTTTTAGATTTCCTCTGTTAGTCAAATTCATTTCTATTTGCTAAATATACTAAGATTATCACGCCTCTAAATCATAATCAAAAACCAAGATAGTGTTTGCTTTGCAAGCTCTTACTGGTTAATTTATCACATTAATTCAGAAGCTAAAATTATAGAAAATCAACCAGTTTGGAAGTTTGGGCACAAATAGGTCAATAATGATTTTAAATATGCCCCCCAAAAAGAGACATAGTCTTTTCAGAGCAACAGAGTCAGTGACTTGGAGTGACCACACTGCAAAAACATGGGGGGGGACTTTCCAGTGAAAGTATCTTAATACACTTGAATTAAGACAAAACCGACATCCAGACTTTCCTTTATAAGGCGTTAAGTCCTCCCCCTACATGGTAACACTTGATTAGACACTGGCTGACATGCTCATAAAAACTTATTAATATTTATAAATAAAACCCATGACATATCCTCTGACTTCGGCCTGGAACTCATCTTACGTTCCCTAACACATTGTTTTGTTCCTCAGGGGTTGACTTTGTGTGTGGAAACTGCTAAGTTGGGAGGATTTACTGTGTGTGTTGCGAAGTTTTAAATAAATCAGCGTGCACATTAACCTGACTAATTAATTGATTACAACATTGAGGCCTCTTGAGCATGGAAAGACGTGGCTTTGTTTCCTGGCTGTGGGGATGTAAGCCTGCAATTGTGGTTTTGAAAACATGGTGAAATTAGCTGAAAATAAGGTTTTCTTCTACTGCTTTTACTTTGTTAAAGCCGAAATGTCACATCAGACAATGGTTTTTAAATTATACGCAAGTATGTTCCTGTGCTTGAAGCATATCAATGTGTCAAAACCATTCACACCCCTTAAACAAGTTTTCATTTTCTCACAATACAGCACAAAGTATTGTGCTGTATTGACTTAAGATTTTCTTAAGTCATGTTTGACAAAGGATTTGCTTTAATCTTCACATCTGCATTTAGCTTAGAATCAGTAATAGATTAACTGAAATGAGACACAGTGGCTTTCTAGCTTTACATTATCATCGTCCTTCAATTCGTGTGTGTGTGTGTGTGTGTGTGTGTGTGTGTGTGTGTGTGTGTGTGGGTGTGTGTGTGTGTGTGTGCGTGTGTGTGTGTGTGTGTGTGTGTGTGTGTGTGTGTGTGTGTGTGTTTTAGGGTGGATCAAATTCTTGGGAAAGGACAGATTCCGGTGGATAAGAAACTGAGGGACAAACTGCACCATGATGGAGACTCTCTGGAGGGGATGAGCATGTTGGGACGAGTGTGTAAAGTAGAAAGACAGGTTTGGTTTTACAAAGACAATATTTCTCACACACAGTTCTTGATAAACTCTACGGGTCAAAATCTTAAGAGGAAACAAAAATTGTTGTATTGAAACACCAATGCAGATGTCACCTTTGGAGACGAAAACCCTCCTTCAAATGATACATACTTAAGGTTGGCTTCATTTGGGTTGAGAAGTTGACTTTTTTGTGTAAACCTCCTTTAGATCTTTTTTAAAAATTTATAAGGCCTGCAATGGATCACTGCAAGAAAGCTCGCTTATGCACTACCACAATCCTGCCACTGAGCGTGAATGCCATATATGACAAACTGGTTTTGCCACTTCTCATTTCTTGCCCCACCTTCAGATTTTTGATCAAGAATGTGTTGTACTAAATGTTGTGCAACAAACTGGATTAATTTCTCGTCTTGGATCTTGTTTACAGTGATATACCTGTTATTCAGGAAGAACTTGTCCATGTACTGAGACTAGTTTTGTTATGACAGGGAGATTTTTTTAAATGGAATGTTTAATATTCTTTATTTGCTTTCAAGTTTTTTCCACAATAACCACTGTTCTCTCTCACACCAAGGTGTCCTCTATTGAAACAAAGTTGGATTCGTTGCTTGATGTTTACCGCCAAGTTCTCCAGAAAGGGCCCTCAGGGCTCTCCCTCTCCTCTCTGCCCCTTTTTGAGCTGGAAAATCACCAGCACCACAACTTGGACTACCCATCCTCCCCCCAGAGAGGGGATACAAATAGAGGACGAGGAGACAACGGTGGCGGCGGGATACACCGATCTCACGGTGCCAACCCAAGAGGCCTGCGGCTTATTCTGGCACCGGCCGACGACGATTGCCCTCCAGATTCAGCGCCTCCGTCCTACCCCCCTTCCACTGCCTCGCTCTCCCCCTCACCTCTGCTACCCCCTGACAGCCCTTACCCAAGCCTTGGCACCCCTTCCAAAAAATCCCACTTTCCTGATCTGCCGCCTCCACCATCGTCGACTGGAAGCTTTACTCTCCAGCTTCCTCCCATGGTTCACCCTTCACACCTCCGATGCCCCGCCGACCCAGTCTCAGATGATGTGACAGATGAAGTAGGAGCCGATGACCAGAGTCTGGGCCCTTCTGTCGTTGTAGGAGGCAGTGCTGATGGTAGTGCTGATGGTAGTGCTGACGGAGGCGGTGAGGTGGGGTTCGCACCTGGTAGGGTGCAGCTGCGAAAGAAGTCCGGCTTGAAATCCGGAGGGGTCTGCAGGAGGCATTTGAGCCTAGAGGCTAACCCATTGCTGCTGCTGTCATCTAACCCAGAGAGGAGGCCTGCAGACTGGGCGGGCAGTCTAGGAAAATCCCTCTCCGTGCATAATATCAACCAGCCTTTAACCAATCGTGCCCCTGGCCTTTCCGCCGCCCTCAACAACAGCAGCAGTAGCAGCAACGACAGCGAGCACGGCAACGGCCACAATGACCTCAGCAACTGGGATGAGACAGACCTCTTCATAAGTGAGTGCAAGCTGAAGCCGGCAGCTGACCACTATGACTTCCTGTCCCAGGGACCGGACAGCGGCCAGTCGGACATTTTACAAACTGAGGAGGAGGATGTTCCTCACTCAAAGGGAAACTCGGAGTTCCTCAGTCAATCCTCACACTTACAGCTGGTGTAAGCACACTGACTGAAAAACAGGACACAAACTGCAAACTGGTGTAAAATACTACAGTATGTATGTATGCATACTGTGGCCAGCGCCACTTTTTAAACATATTTATATAGGGCACCATGCACATCATGCTCTGAATTTGACACTTCATACATGTTCAAACAGTGTTTTCTGTTTTATGTGACACGATTATGCCCATTTGCACATAGATCATATATTATTACACACTTTTTTGTGGCACCTAAATGTCTGCATCCAGTAGGAAGAAAAACGAGTGTGAACGCAAGTGGCCATGTTCATGTTACACAAAATATGAAAACTATACATTCAGTACTTTTCTAAATTATTGATACTCCTTGAACTTTTTCACAGTTCGCTACTTTAAAATCCAAATATTTATGCATTTTCTTGGGTTTTTAATGGATCAGACGAACACAAGGTGTAAAATACTACATAATTAATTAGGTTTTTTTGTTCCAAATTAGTTTTTTGCAGCCTTTAACGTGTGTTCTTCCAGGAATGCCCTGTATTTCGCTCCATCCATCTTCCTCTCTGAGTTGCTGTAAAATAGTATCTACCCTCCTGCAGATTTATTCTAGTTTTTCTGTTTTGTCTTAGTTTAAGTGGAGAGTTTAGCACAAACTTAGTGCATTGGAGCCTAAGGGCCCAAATTAATAGTCGAACATTTTTGCTAGAAAGCAGAATTTTAACTATTTTTTTATGAAGCAGTGATGACGCCCCACAGCATCATACTAACATTACCTTTACCATCTTTTTCTGACATGCTGTGTTGTCAGGTTTTTTTCTGTTGGAGCAACTTTGACGGTCTTTGTGCATCCTGAGAAGGTTCACAACTGTTCTATGTTTCCTCCATTTAAGGATAATGTGTGGTGTTAAGTTTCACTAGCTTCCTAAAAAATTAGAAATTTTTTTCGACAGTGATTTTCTTTCTTAAACGTTCTTGGATTTGTTTAAAGCTTGATTTGTTACTTTTGACAACGTCTAACATAGTTCATGCTGTCAGACAAGTTATATTTAAGTAATTTCTTCTATCTGCAGGCCAGGGCCAGCTGGCACTCACCATATTAAAGCGGAAACTGAGGGTGATTCCAGGGGATTTTTGTTTCAGCAACCAAGGACAGTTCGTTTTTCATGCAGGGCTTATATGTGGCTTTCGTCACATAATCAAAGAAAGCATAATTTGAAACCTGCTTTTTGTGCATATTCGGATTATCCAATATTAGAGTTTTTTACTGATACGAAGCATTTTGGTGTGACGAGAAAAAAAGAAAAATGCAAAACAGAAACCTGTAAGGGGCAAATACTTTTTCACACCATTTTACTCTGACCAGCCTCTGTGTTCCTGATGAGAAGAGAAAATCCCCAGAGTGCAATTCTGCTAACCTCAGTGTTCATACCTCTCACTTAAATTGCTGAAAAAGTACATTGGCTTTTGTTTGGTTGTTTGCAAGGCAAAATGTGAAAGAGTTCAAGGGATGTGAATACTTATGCCAAGCACTGTAAACAATTTTTCAGGAGAAAATCAATCAATCAAATTTTATTTGTATAGCATATTTCAGCAGCAAGGCATTTCAAATTGCTTAAAATGCAGCTTTCCTGACTCTTACATTCAGTATCATGACTCAAAGCATGATGTTAATTTTGACAATAGATATTTTTCTTCTATTTGAATAAGAATGTAGATGGTGTAAGTCAACCTATTTGGCTCTTCACGTGAACAACTGAGAGTGTTCTTTCATTTCAAAGTGAATCTTTAACTTTCTTCTTTCTATTAATCAATCTGGATCTCTACTTAAACCAAAGAACTTAATCTACATTCATCACCACAAATGCCACATGCATCCATTTTTCTTAAAAAAGGACAAAGAAAACATGAAAAAAAAATTAAACATCATTTGGAAAGCTGAAGGTGTAAAGAGTCTAAAATGCATTTAACTGACAGACAGTCTGTGGAAATCACATCCCTGCCTAAATGGATGTTCGGTATGATTTTAGTAAGAACAGGGACAAGAATAATATTTGATCACAAATACCAAATATTGTAAGAGGAGCCAACTAGAACAAAAGCTGAGATACACACGTATTCCTTGTTCTGTATAAATGATTGTATATGAAGATGAGAAAAGCCATTTTTGCCTAGTTTGTCTTTATGATAAATATCTTAAGCTTTCCATATTCATATCACCTCCTGGACGGTTCTCACAAACCAATTGCTTGAGGCTTAAATCTGTGGGAATGGGAAACGACAAATGATCAATTAAAAAAATAAAAAGCAACAAACTGCATGTGTTGGGACAAGAAAGGAGTTAATCACATGATGATCTAAAGCAGTTTTTGAAGTTTGCTACTAGGTAAAGGTTTGACCCTACCCTCTGATTTTGTACAATAGTTTGCTAAATTAAATGCTAATGATTTGAATGTGGATTTAGCAAAGGTTACTCATGCATGAGATGCCGCATGTGTGAAGCTGCTGATGTCAATGTCAAGCATGCAAACACCTTCTGCCTCTTTGAACTTTGTTTTACTTTTAATTTGTAATCATTTGGCAGTGTATATTTGCTTTATGAGTTAATAAAAGAGCCACCTACAATGTCAACACAATGCATACAACAGTTCACTGGAATCTGATGTTTCCCTTTCCTGTAGAAGTCAAAATTGAAAGCTCTGGCACTGATTAAACACCTTGTTTAAACAATTCAAAGTGAAAATGGGGTGTTATTAAGAAGGCTGTGCAGTTTTTGATTTAGCCTACACATTTTTTTTCTTTATTCAGCTATCCTGATTATTAAAAAATAAAATAAAATCCACGTTATTGTTGACGAGAGCCACCTAACCAAAAAATTGTCAGGTTGGTTCAACAACCATCTGGTGTCCATTTAGAATTACCTCTACAAACAATATGTAAACATTAGATTGTAAAGTTGTACAAGTGAATCACGGTTCACTGATAGTCTTTGGAAAATGTTTGACATAACTGATGCTTTTTTGCCTCTGTCTTTCATCTGCAAATGTTTTTTTTTTTACTCATCCACCGACTCTTTCGGTCATTTTAATATCTTCTGTGTTTGATTTGGATCTTGGTTCATTTTTGGCACAGTCACTCTCGTCTTAGAATGTGTTTTACTGTCAGCTACTTCCTTTATTGACCTTGTGATTTCATCTGTGTTTGCCCGTGTTTTGGAAGCGGATTGCTAATTCATTTGACACTGAAGGTTAGAGCAAGTATTATTTTCAGAAAGAATGCCAACAGTTAGCATTTGTGTGGTTTTTGTACTATTCTTTAATCCATATAAAATTTCATTTGTGTTGCAAAGAAAGCATTCTCATCAGAAACATGTACGGCTTCTCGTGAACGTTGGTGTCTGGCAATGTGACAGGGTATGTTCATGCCTGCATGATATTGGAACAGATGTAATGTGTTTAATGGTGGACTGGAAAACTTCATCAGCCAAGCTGGAATGCCGAGGAACTAAAGAGGCTAAACTTCCCATGTGACATTTTTAATGTTTGCAATCTGTAAATTGCTTACGGGTGCCTTTTTGCTCCAAAGAACTGCTTTTATTTCCATTCATCGCCTACAACCGATTACATCAGATTGTACTTAAGTCCAACTGCTCATCTTGAACTGGGCATCCAGTCGTGTGGCTTTAAGCCTGAGACTTTAACTTCTTTGGCCGAAAAATACTTAATAATTTCTCTACTGCTTGAACAGTAATTTATGACACAGCTGGCCTTAAAGCTTGATAATGTTAACATTATTTCTTTGAAATTAATTTATTAAAGTGCACATTATATTCTCTGGATGAGAAATGCAAAAATGATTTTATTATTCATTAATAAAGTATGGATTAACAAAACTGTTTCGTGAGAGTTTCCTACATCATTTCAAGGGGTGATCACGTGCATCAGGTTTTCACCAACTTCACAAGATGGAACGAAAAAAAGAAAAAAAAAATCCCTAAAGCTCTAATAGAGTAGGACCTTTAGTGAATGGTTTAAGGGAAGTTCAATGAAAGTCAACATCCAGAAAACCTCTCCAGAGGTTAGTTTTAACATTTACAGTGTAACTGTCAATGAATGTTTCCTGGAGGGTTCCCTGAATGGTACCTACAACTTGCACAATTTCACCTTTAGAGAGCCTTCAGGGAGACAAGGTTACCTTGAGGTCATCTACAACTAACACACTGTGACCTTTAGAGAATCTTTAGGCGATGTTAAAGGAAGATTAAGGGGTCTTTTATTCACAGAGCATGATTACTTTATGGAAACTGACAGGGAATGGTTCCTAATGGATAAGCAATCTTTAATCTTACAATAATATGTGGGTTACTGAATTATTTCCTAGTCTTCAAAGAATCATTAAGAAATAAATAATAGAGATTCTAATTAAGTTCAATTATTTTGTTTCTGAAGTAACATTGAATGCCTTATTGCGTCGATCAATCCCTAATCATTTTGTTCAAAAACACCGTGAAAAAAAAACCACGCATTATTCATTTAATTTAAAAGACTACATACTACAGACAAACACTTCTTCCACATTTACAATCTTACAAAACACGCAAAATTACACGCGCGCTTTACATAAACGCTTATTTAACTGGTTCCTGTCCAGACCGGAAGTGGAGCAGAGATTTCTTTGGGGCTTCATGGTGGCGCAGCAGAATTTAAAATGTCGGACTGGGAGAACGAGTACGACGACTGCGGTGTTGCCATTGAGAAACCTGCCGCTAAACCACCTGCCACCGACAACACGTTATTGGGAGAAGACAGCCAAGGAGATGCGAGTGTTTATTCCGCTGCAAAAACTCAAACCTGGTTCAGAGAACCAACCGAGGCGAGAGTTGAGCGCCGCCGGGATGCGGTCGAGTTCAGGAGCCGAAGAGGTGAAGCGGACCGCGGCGGGGGGCCTGGAGACCGTCGGAGAGGGAACGACACGTCCGACGGATCCCCACCTCTTATCTTCAAAGTGGAAAACATGTCCATTGGGAGGATAATTGGTAAGCTTAAAGCCTGAAGTCAAGTTTAAAACAGACGTTGCTATTTGGTCTGCTAGTTATGCTAACTTAATTATTTGCTAGCGGTTTAGCTCCCATTGAAACTTTTACTGTTTCTCAAGCGGCTAATTTTATTTATTGAACCGGGCAAAAACACTTTTAAATGTTTTATCTGTAGTTTTGAAGTTTGTCTCGTTAAGGTTTGACATTGAACTGTGCTCGCAGGTCGCGGCGGAGCTAAAATACGTGAACTTGAGGAGAGCAGCGGAGCTCGGATCAAGGCAAGTGTGAACAGGAAGCGAATCGCCGGAAACGGCCTCCGTGCGCCCGAGAAACGCTTTGGGGTTGGATTATAACTACTTATTGCACAAAAATAGGTTCCCCTTTGTTAAAGACGTTTTTGTTTTACTCATAATTTTGGAGTAACGAGAACCTACTTTTTCCTCAAAAGCAAATTTTGCTTCTTAAATGGGAAAGCAACAAACCTAAAAAACAACAATGTAGAAACTTTGGACTGTCTGCAAACGCAGTTGTACAAGACCTTTATGTTTTGTGTCTACAATAATTTACAGATCTGTTTGCCACAAAAAATTATTATTTTTTTTTTATTTTACTATTGAGCAGATAACATGAAAAGGCACAAAAACTTTTTCAAATAGTGAGAAAAATATAATTTAGTGGTCTTTCAACTTAACAAGTCTAGCTCTCCTAGGCAAAAGGTTTGGACATCATTTTAGTACATATGAGCCATGATGATTTGACTATTTTTAAAAACTACCCTTAACAATAATTATGAAATGCATTGTTTTTGGGGGGGTTTTATGCTTGTTTTTGGGTCAAAATAAAAACTTTCAACAATCACTCCAGTCTTACTATTATTTTTAGAATCTTCCACATGGACGGCAGTTTATCCAAGGGTTAGAAAAACATTTGCTTTAGTATCAAACCCTTAGATTTTATTATCAATATATTAATGAAAACAATAACATACAAATGATCGGTCCAAGTTGTACAAACGTTCAGCTAAACACGAATCAAAAATGGTTTTCTTGAAACAATTCTGCAATCTTTAAACCCACCCCCATTTTGATCATGTTAAACCAAAGTTTGAACAACTTAAGACTTAACAGAAAAACAAAACAAAAACAAAATCTGCATGGTGTAAAACCCAAGGTAATACCAGGCACCGTTTTCCCCGACAAGAAAGAAATGAACAAACAAAAAAAGAGTTCTATTTAAACAGCAGCTGCACACTTTTAAGTTATTCTGTGTTCCTGAATCCTTTATTTAAGACACGTGTTTTAGGATATTTCCGGTGTAAAATGTCGATATTTCTTTTGTCTGTTTTTAAAGATTACGAGGGGAGATTGTGACGGAGAAGTGGCCATCTCTGGTTCGTCCGCTGCTCAGCAAAACGCCAGAGGAATGATTGAAGAATTGATTGCAGGCGGCTCTTCTCGGTTTAGTTCTGGTACATATTAGTCTTTGTTGGAAGTGGTGAATTTCTTTAACTTTTACTGGGGAAAACTAACTCACAAAACTATGATAATTAAAAAGAAAAACAAGTAAAAAAAAAAAAAAAAAAAAAACTGTCATCTACAAATAAAATGTTTCTCTTTGTGAATTGACAGTAAATTACTTATGGCAATTTTGTATGGGTGAACAAAAAACCGTTGTATATCTGGGCCCACAAGACCATGAGTTCAAAGGCTTATTTTTCTACAATATAATGCGTGTTGATCAGTGTGTTACTCTGTTTCATACACCTAATCCATTTCTCTTTGCTTTCATTCTTCTTCATTGAGAGACCAATTAACGGGATCCATAATTTGTCGATTCTTTCTGGTCAAACACCAAGTTTCCTTGTCCTGCTGCTGTTGGACAATATGCTTTCTTCAAGTTCTTGCTGCTGTGTCCTGCTTTTGAGGTCCAGCTAGAGGTCGGTGCAGTGACGGGCAAAGGTTCGGAGGAACAGCGGGTACAGGAGGGAGGAACAGGAACGACTCGGCCTGGTCGCAGGAGGCACCACAGGCTGCAAGTGACGGCCCGGATTCTTCAGCCATCGACTGGAACGAGATCCGACAAAACAGGAAAAAATTCGAGGAGCTGAAGTGGAAAGGTGGGACAGCTGATTCACGCCGAGTTCAGTCAGTGATGCGTTTTGTTGCTGAACAGCTTTGGCCTTATGTAACTAAGTGTAAATAATGATTCCAGTGAAAACAAAATATATTTGTCGGAATTATTTCTTCCGATAAATATTTTTATTTTGTGTCGTTGTTGGTTCTTTTCATATTTGTGTCATCCATGAGTTTGATTTAGTTCCTGATGATATTTTCAAACTTTTCTCAGACCTCCCACCGGTGAAGAAGAACTTTTACATAGAAGCAGCGAGTGTGTCCATGCTCACACCTGACGAAGTCGCTGCATGGAGGTAACTTCTTTTTTTTTCTTTTTTTTTTTCAAACATCCTGCTTAACCTTTTATCATAGATAAAAATCCAATTTTACTCTCCAACTCTGAAGCTTCCACTGGATTCTTGTTTTATTTTCAGACTTAAACTGTTATCAGTAACCAAATCTAATAATATTGCATTTAATGAGCAGCAATTTTAAGAAGTGTAAGGGAAAGCCTTACAACTACAGCAGGCAAAATGCTTTTTCTTGCCTGCTGAAACAAAGAGGCTGACACCCACGCAAGGCGCTCAGTCATCTTTAATTGTCTTCCGGTTTAGACCACACTTTGTGATAAAAACATGAACTGCAGGAACTCCTCTTTCAGAGTTGGTATTTTCTAATACTGGGACTTCACAGAAAAAGTTGTCTGAGGAATTTTAATAAAATTACAATTAAAGTACCTAACAACAAAGTCTTAATATTTTTGTACTATTAGTAAAGCTACTTGTCTTCTTGTCAATTTTGAGTTTTCTAATCAAGTACTAAACGCTGGATAATAAATGTATTTATCACAGAAAGCAATTTGCCTGCTGCCTCTTTAAATACAATAAGCTAACTCTAAGCAATTTATAATATGAAACTATTTCCCTCCTATTTTTACAGGAAGGAAAATAACAATATATTTGTAGATGACATAAAGGAGGAGGGAGAGAAGCGACCCATTCCTAATCCGTGCCGTACGTTTCTGGAAGCGTTCCAACCTCATCCAGAGATTATGGAAAATATTGAGCGTGTTGGTTTTGTCAAGCCAACCCCCATCCAGGTATTATCCAAGCACCTACACAATTTCATGAAATAACATGTTTCAAATTATCTTTTTTTTTTTTTTTTTTAATTTTTAGAACAAAATGAAATGCCATCAGCAGATAAAACAAATCTTACAGCAGTTTTTAAAATACTCTGCAGTGGTATTGTTGGGAGTCTTTATCTAATTTAGGCCCATTTATGAAATTGACATCTGTAATCCCTCTCAGAAGAAATGAAAGTGCATAAACGTCATGTTCATTTCTTGTACATAGAAAGTATGTCTACATGCAAGAGAGGTATGTGAATTTGGTTTCACTTTTCACTTTGTAGAAAAATGAAACCAAATTCTTATGCGTGAATCACCATTTCCTCTTGATGAAGCAAGGCCCATTCAGACTTCACAATTTTTCTTCCTCTATTCTGAGGAAGAAAAACCTCTAATCATCAAAAGTGGATGTTTTTCTCTTCTTTCTTTGTTTGTATCGTCTAACGACGCTCTGTTGCCATTTTTCATATCTGCTGTCTCCTGTCACACACAATCCGACTTTGCTCCTATTTTCACCCCGATGTGCAATTTTAAATCTCTCTTAAGCATTTGAGCTGAACGTTGGCTCAAATGCCAACGTTCACCTTGAAACTCAGATGAATTTA